TCACATGTTGCTTGAACCATTCTGGAAATTCTTTCTTGCTTAGCTCCTTAATTTGTCGCATAGTTAACCTTTCTCGACGATGTTTAGTTTTCAAGAATTCTTCATGTTGCCTACACAATTATGTCCAATTTAGATAATTATTTTTTCAAAGTTAAGAAAACCAATAAAACATTAAGACGTATGATTAAACGTTCTTACCTTCTAAATGGGCTAACCTCATCACAATTATTTAGAATGTATCTATGGCACTGATCAAGAACATTTAGATCGAGCTTCACATTTTCTCCTGAACCCATATAACATCCTTTCGAGTCAAAAATTGATAACCCACCAGATACTCCATGTCCAATACCATCTTCATTTCGGCCTCTACGGGTACGACGAGACTCAACGTCTCTAAGATACATGGAACAAAATGACAAGCACTCATCCACCAAATATGCTTCAGCAATAGAACCTTCAGGACGACCCTTATTACGAACATAGCGCTTCAGTGTTTGCAAATACCTACAATTATAAAACGAAATACAAATTATTATAATTATTAATTAAAGTTATGACTACAATTGTAAAAAAATTATAAAAATTTATTCATTACCGTTCAATTGGATACATCCATCTATATTGAACAGGCCCTGCAAGAGCTGCTTCATCTGCCAAGTGAACTGGGAGGTGCACCATTATATCAAAAAATGCAGGAGGGAATATTTTCTCAAGTTGACATAATGTCAAGACAATTCTTGAATTCAGTTGCTTAAATCCTTCCTCAGACTCCTTCTTACTACATAACTGTCTGAAAATTGCACTCAACTCTAATAAAACAATAGTAACAGCTTTAGGCAAAACCGGGCGTATTGCAAGCGGGAGTAACTGCTGCATTAAAACATGGCAATCATGACTTTTCAACCCATGTATTTTTCGTTCATTCACGTGCACACATCGCGACAGATTTGATGAATATCCATCTGGGACCCGAATAGTAGACAATACTTTACAAAACGCAGTTTTTTCTTCTCTTTTCAATGTGAACAATGCTGGAGGTCGAAATGTTCTATTTCCTTCTCTACGTGGGTGTTGACTATGTCTTATGTTCAAGAATTCAAGATCTGCACGTGCCGCCAATCCATCTTTAGACTTTTCTATATCTAGCAATGTTCCCACCACACTGTCACATATATTCTTCTCGATATGCATAACATCAAGATTGTGTCTAATCAACAGATGCCTCCAATAAGGTAGTTCATAAAAAATCGATTTCTTCTTCCACTGACTGTTACTACTTGTACTGCTCGAAGCTCTTCTTCTGCGTTGCCCAACTGAAGCATCCTTGTTTGGTTTTCCAAAAGTAAATCTCAATGTAGAAAGTTCTTCGAGACATTGTAAACCAGTCCACTGCCTTGGTGCACTACGATGCTCTCGACGACCATTAAAAGTGATGGTTTGCCTTCGAAACCTATGATTATCTTCAAGAAAACGTCGATGCCCCATATAACAAATCTTGCGACTCGCTGGCAAGTAAATAGATTCTTTATCATGCATGCAATGTGGACAAGCTTTATAGCCATGTGTACTCCATCCTGACAACATTCCATAAGCCGGAAAATCACTTATAGTCCATAACACGACAACCTTCATCGTAAAACTTTGGTTGGAATACGCATCATAAGTGGGAATGCCCACCTCCCACAACTCATTCAGCTCGTCAATCAATGGACGCATGTATACATCAATCTCTTTACCAGGACTGCGCGGTCCTGGTATTAACAAAGACAATAACAAATTTGGTTGCTTCATGCACATCCAAGGTGGCAAATTATAAACAGAAAGCACCACAGGCCATGTGCTATGATCATTCCTCATTTTCCCAAAATGATTAAATCCATCATTGGCTAACCGTAATCGGACATTTCGAATTTCTGACGCAAAATCCGGATATAAATTATCCAAATGCTTCCATGCGGGAGAATCTGAAGGATGTCTCATAAACTCATCCTTAGGACATTCAGTTGCATGCCATCTCATATGTTCAGCCATATGCTTCGACATAAAAAATCGTTGCAATCATGGTTTTAAAGGAAAATACCACATAACCTTAGCTGCGACCTTTTTCCTCGAACTATCCTCTGCATTGGTAATTTTATATCTTGATTTACCACAAACTGAGCACACGGTCAAATCTGAAGTATCTTTCCAATAGATCATGCAATCATTGGGACATGCATCAATTTTCACATACGACAGCCCCAAGTCATTTATAAGTTTTTTTGCCTTATAACAGGATTCAGGCAAACAATCCCCTTCAGGCAACATTCTTTTAATTAACTCCAGTAAAGTGGTGAAGATCTCGTCAGGCATTCCCGCTAAACACTTGATCTGATACAATCTTACAACTGCTTCCAATTTCTTAAACTCCTTACAACCTGGCCACAAATCTTGATCTGCCTCTTCAAGCAACTTAAAAAAAGTCTGCACCTCTTCTGGACGCCCTTCCCCAATAGGGGGTTCAGTAGATGGCCCAACACCTTCTTCTGTTAATGGTTGAACAAATACATCATTAAGAAAATCATGCATGCCAATCACCTCATCTCCTGTTTCTTCTTCTCCAATTCCCACATTTTGCTCTCCAATGTTTTGCTCGCCATGATGTCGCCAACAAGCGTTTTTATAATCTTTATCCATATCATACAATATGAGATGTTCAACAATGGTGTTCCTAACAAAAGTATATTGATTACAACATCTTTTGCAAGGACATCTAAACTTATCAGGACCAACACCATTTGCAACTGCTTGATCCAAAAACAAATTAATTCCAGTTGTATACGCTTCAAAATTTCGGGGTATTGTCAACCAACTCTTGTCCATATTTTACCACTTTACGAAGGTAAAATATTACGTTGACACTAAGATGCCTACAATCTTTCAATCCCTATCATGTAGGCATAACTATCAAAATTTTCAATTTCTATCTTTCACCCCTCGAACTCTATCACGATTGCAATCTTTTAATTTTCAACACCTATTATAGTAAAAACAAATTAAAATAACAACAAAAAGTTATCAAAATTATGCTCATCTAATCCATTCTAATAAATAACAACCAAAAGTTATCAAACTTATCAAAATAACAACAAATTCAAATAACAATTAGAGTGCAAAAAAAATTAATTAATATATTCTTATATTCCTAAATATTATAAGTGTCACATCCCGGCCCGGGCAGGACCACTTCCCGGGCCCGCTCCACCACCGTAACACGATATTGTCCACTTTGGGCTTACCATTCCCTCACGGTTTTGTTTTTGGGAACTCACGAGCAACTTCCCAGAGGGTCACCCATCCTGGGAGTGCTCTAGCCCTCTTCTCGCTTAACTTCGGAGTTCCTACGGAACCCGAAGCCAGTGAGCTCCCAAAAGGCCTCGTGTTAGGTAGGGATGGGAATATACATTTAAGGATCACTCCCCTGGGCGATGTGGGATGTCACAATCCACCCCCCTTAGGGGCCCGACGTCCTCGTCGGCACACACGCGACCAGGGTTAGGCTCTGATACCAATGTCACATCCCGGCCCGGGCGGGACCACTTCCCGGGCCCGCTCCACCACCGTAGCACGATATTGTCCACTTTGGGCTTACCATTCCCTCACGGTTTTGTTTTTGGGAACTCACGAGCAACTTCCCAGAGGGTCACCCATCCTGGGAGTGCTCTAGCCCTCTTCTCGCTTAACTTCGGAGTTCCTACGGAACCCGAAGCCAGTGAGCTCCCAAAAGGCCTCGTGTTAGGTAGGGATGAGAATATACATTTAAGGATCACTCCCCTGGGCGATGTGGGATGTCACAATAAGTTTAGGTTATATTCTTATATGAAAGGTTATATTCTTATATGAAAGGATATTCTTATATTATAAGTTTAGGTTATATTTTTATGAAAGGTTATATTCTTATATTCTTATATTCCTAAATATATTATAAGTTTAGGTTATATTCTTATTAGAGTGGAAAAAAAAAAATAACATAATATATTCTTATATTACTCAATATTATAAGTTTATGTTATATTTAATATTGTTAATTTAACATAAATGCTTATAAATATTATTCATTCCATTTTCTCATAACAATTCAAATTATGTTCATCTAATCCATTCTAGTAAATAACAACAAAAAATTATCAAAATAACAACAAATTAAAATAACAATTAGAGTGACAAAATTAATTAATTCGACTAAATTTTTATTAATTTAACAAAAATAGTAGAATTTTATCTAAGTGCTTAAATTATAATTTTTAAATAAATAAACTTGTGTATTATACAATTTAAAAATTAAAGAAGTTAGTGATACAAACCTGATTTGTTGAAGAATTTCGACGTCAACAATTCTTTATGTACTCAACCAACTCAAATAAATTTCCTACAAAAATAAATTGTAACTAAAAATTAAACATAAGAGGAGAAAATAAAAATATTATAAGCAAGAAAAACTTACTGTTGTGAAAAGGAACAAATGAAGTTTGAAAACCAAAGGAGAAAGCTGAAAGAGAGAGAACACGGGAGACTTTGTAAAAATTGGAAGAACGAATAAGAAAAGTGCAAGAGAAGAAAAAGAAAACACGGGGGAGAGGATATAAAGACCATCAATGTGTCGCTTACAACCGACACTGGTTTTCAAAATATATGTCGCTCAAAACCGACGCAGGATTTAAAATATTAAAAACAAGAATTAGTGTCGCCTAGAAGCGACACCCATAGTTTATGTCGCTTAAAAGCGACACTATTTTATTTAAAGCGACGTCGGTACTTAAAAATATTAAAATATATGTCGGTTATAAGCGACACTAAATTTTGACGTCGGTTTAAAAGCGACATAAAAATTTTATGACGCTTATAAGCGACAGTAAATACGACGTCATCTTCAGTGAGTGTCGCAAATCTCTTTTTCGCCACTATATAATATTAAACCGACACAACAACTGACACTATTAGGTCCTTTTGTAGTAGTGTGGGGAGATCGACGAGGCTCTGAACATGTTCATGAGAATGCAAGATGAAGACCTGGAGCCAGACGATGTAACCTATATTAACCTAATAGGTTGCTATGGAAAAGCTGGTATGGTCGAAGGTGTGAAGCGAATATACAGCCGGTTGAAATACGAAGAGATAGAGCCAAATCATTCCTTGTACAAAGCTGTTATGGATGCCTATACAGATGCCAACAGGCATGACCTTGCCAAACTGGTTAGCCAAGAGATGAGATATGAGTTCTACTCAGAACAAAAGACGGGTTCCGAAACTAAAGATGAGTCCGATGAGGCTACTTCAGATCTTGAGGATGTGTAATTGTTTGAAGGTATAAACTCCTTGTGTTGTTACACTGTACAGAAACAAGTTCATGCATCTAATACCGTATTGTATAAATGTACCGGATTTGACGAAACATGTATTGTATTTCCCATCTGTGTAGTTACACTGTACAGAAACACATTTGTTACTGCAATTTTGTTTTCCAATATGGTAGGGCAAAAAGGGAACCATACAAATTTCTTTTCCCCTAAGCAACAAGATGTGTACAAGTCAATTTTCCCTTCCAATTTTCTCAGCGGCCAAACAAAAGTTAAAGCTCCCTTATTTTTCCTTTGTCAACCGTATTTCCATTTTTATTTTCCACTTGGACGACAGATGGGCGTTGGATTTTCAAAGATTTGACCATAAAACTCGGCCAACCGAAGCCCATTCCAAATCAACTTCAATACCTACTAACTGCCACACACGTTCACGGATAAATTTTTCATTGGGATCGAAATACGGATGGTATACTACGTACTTTTATATATGTGGTGGAATTTTTTATTTTTTAAATTATTAACTTTTTAACATATATATCATACTATTTGCATAATAACATATGATGTATCACATCGTGTTCCGATTACATTGAAAAATCTCTTCATCATCTAACGCCCATATTAATCACCACAGCATTCTGAAACCACCATTTCCCACCACGTGTACGGCCATGATCTCATGCTCTCATCTCTAAATTCCCCAGCCAGCTGGCAAAAATGTACTGGCCTTGTTGCATGAGCCATGATGCCCTAAACCCCGAACTCATCCAACGGTCAGAAACAGCAATGGCAACAAAACTTGCTCGATCTATAACTTGTCTGACGCACATATAAGCAAAATTTTCATTTCTTATTTTTCAGCTTCCAAAACCAACATCTCACATTTTTGGTTCTCTCTTCAGAGGTCAGTTAAAAGCCGAAACCGGAACAGAATGGTGGTGTTTTGTTTTCTGGTGGATCAGAAGAGGCAAGTGCAGGGGAGCAAGCCGGCGGCGGGAATATGCTCGCGGTGCGGCGGAGGAGCGAGCGTGGCGGACATGAAGACCGCTACAAGATTTTGTTACGTCCCGTTTTATTGGAAATCTTGGAGGGCCATAATATGTACTTTCTGTGGAGCTGTTCTTCGTTCTTATCGATAAATTATTGGCTAATTTGCATGTTTCTTCTAGCAAAAGGGTGATTTGTTAATTTGCATGTATAGCTAGCTAGCTAGGTCTTTAGTAGTTTAATTTAATGACTATTTGATTTTCGGTATCTTTTACTTTGCGTTATTCATAATTCTCAGTTCAATCGTCGTCACTCCAATCCGACGCACCAAATGCCGCTTAAACTTGTTGCTTTTAGACACAATTTTACATACGTTTAGCGCACTGCATCAAACTCTAACACAAGCTAATGACTATATATTCGAGAATTAACCCAATGAGATGCGCAATTCTATTTCTGTCAATTTTTTTTATTGTATCTCTATATTTATATTTGGCTTGCGGGTGGTTGCGTTCATGGTTCGGAATTTAAGTAGAGACAGTTGAAGGCAGAGGCCAGTTGGAACTTGCAAGTAGACAATCAATTTCAAGGGGTTAAAAACAAGTAAAAGATGCATGCTTTTTTATGACATGAAATGAAGGCAAAGTTGGTGTTAGGTTGGGGGTGAAACTGAAACCATAAACCTTGTGCTACGTATTCACGTCGTCTATCATTTTCAGCATAATCTGGCTCCTTCTCTCTGCAATAAATACTAAAGAAACTAATAAAAAAGGTTTGAAAATTTTAAGTTTTAACTAAAAGAACAAAATAAAGAGTAAAGTGAATAGTACCTGAATTGACTTTTTAGTGTAAAAATATGGTTTTTCGTTAAAGTGAACAGTACCGGAAGTTTTTCATTAAAGTTCCCTAAATACTATGCAATTCCAATATACAAGTAAAGAAAAATATATACTAATCTTTTGATTGTTGGCAAGTGTTTTGAGCGTCCTCAAAACGGTTGTAGAGGTATACACATCACAATATTGCTAGACATTGTCATTGCAACGTTCTGGTTTAATAATGGATTGTCATGTTGAAAAATTATTACACGTAATAATGTATTATTGAATAGGAACATCACATCATAATAGACTCGTTTTGAGTAAGTCGTTTCCTCCAAACAAATGTGTGAAAGGAGAAATAGAACTTTGCGTAGACATTGCGACAGCTAATAGAAATGGAATTAAACATTTATCGGACGTGATCGGTTGGGTGGCAGCTAGGACCTTAGAATAAATGCTATGCCATGCTACATGAAGCAGCCAGGACCTTGATATATGTTGGATTTGTGGTACGGTTTCTTGTGAGCCCTCTAAGAAGAAGATGGTGGACATAAACGAGTTGTGGTTGATAATGTCGCAAGAAACAGAAACATAAACCAGGTACCACACACAACTAGAAATTATAATTTTGCCGCCAAAGCAAAATTTTGTCGGCACAAGAGTCTTTTCTCGACGAAAATTTTAATTTGTCGATTGAATACTCACACTAGAACCAATTTACAACGCCAATCTTAGCCGAGAAAATTGGAACGTTAGCCGACGATCATTTTGTAGGCTTAAATTCGATGTCCTGATGAATTTTGTTTTGACGGGTGAACTCTGGTGGGAACTTTTCTTGCTGTATTGAAATATTAGCCGACAATGTGAGGCAACAAGGTATTTCATCAGCAAATTGATAAGAGAGCCAACAAAGTATGTCATTGGCAAAGTGATAATAACTATATGTGATAAGAACAAACTTATCAAATTCCCAAGGCAATCCTAACCTATTTTGTCGGTTCACATCCACCAATTGCTCTTGATCTCCCTCCCATATTCTTCCTAATCCTATTTTGTCAGTTCACATCCCCCAATTGCTCATGATCTCCCTCCCATATTCTTCACTCTTAGCGCGCCATCCGATTTCACTTTTGTGAGAATTCCTATTTATCTTGTAACAACTTGGCAGGGTCTTTCCCCCTCAAAAATAATTTTGACGATCCTAAATCCCTAAGTTTATATATTAGGGTTCTCGCACTTTTAACTGACTCTCATTCACGTCTCTGCTTCTATCATCTCTCTCTTCTCTCGCTCTCACGATCATCTCCATAATTTTGCAGAAGCAACAACCAGTCTTAACGGTGAGGATATAACTAAACTATTTAATATATTGCTTAATTATAGTTTGGTTCAAGACCTTTAGGCTACCATTACTTTTTGTTCTAATTTTTTCTTGTTCAGGGCATGTTATTGTTCGATTCTTGTAACTTAGGGTGCACTACAAATTGAAGTAAAGATTTTGATTTGGATTTTTTATGCATCAATGTCTTTGATTTTTATTCTTACCAATGAATTCCAATGCACTATATATGTGTGTGTATATATATGTATTTACATTTAACTTAAACTTGGTTCTTTTTTTTTTCTTTTTTGTAGATGCCAATGATTAGCCAAAAAAGGAAACGACCTCTTGTTTCAACAAGAATCCCGCCTCTGCCATCCTAGTCACGATCTACATCTGCTATCGGACTTTTGACTGAATATAAGGTTTTGTTATTTAAGAATCTAGTTGCTAACATGATCCATTTTTATGGCTACTTAATTTCTTCCATTTATAGTTGATCTTATATATTGATAATTACTATCTCATTCAATGGCAAAAAGCAGATGTAGACATGGCAAAGGTTTCTTGATGACACAAGAGGTCGTTTCCTTTTTTGGCTAATCATTCGCATCTACACTAAAAGAAAAAAATAAAAAAAATAAAAATAAAAAACCAAAAACAAAAACAAAAACCAAGTTTAAGTTAAATGTAAATACATATATAGATGCAGCGCATTGGAATTCATTGGTAAGAATAAAAATCAAAGATTTTGACGCATAAAAAATCCAAATAAAAAACTTTACTTCAATTTGTAGTGCACCCTAAGTTACAAGAGCCGAACAATAACATGGCATGACCAATAAAAAATCAGAACAAAAAGTAATGGTAGCCTAAAGGTCTTGAACCAAATTATAATTAAGCAATATATTAAATAGTTTGGTTATATCCTCACCATTAAGCCCGGTTGCTGCTTCTACAAAATTATGGAGATGATCGTGAGAGCGAGAGAAGCGAGAGAAATGATAAAGGCAAGGATATGTATGAGAGTTAGTTAAAAGTACGAGAACCCTAATATATAATCTTAGGGATTTAGGATCGTCAAAATTGTTTCTGAGCGGGAAAGACCCCGCCAAGTTGTTACAAGATAAATATGAATTCTTATGAAAGTGAAATCGGATGGCACGCTGAGAGCAAAGAATATGGGAGGGAGATCATGAGCAATTGGGGATGTGAACCAACAAAATAGGAATAGAAATATTATGGGAGGAGATCATGAGCAATTAGGGGATGTGAACCAACAAATAGGAATAGAAATATTATGGGAGGGAGATCATGAGCAATGTGAACCAACAAATAGGAATAGAAATATTATGGGAGGGAGATCATGAGCAATTGGGGGATGTGAACCAACAAATAGGAATAGAAATATTATGGGAGAGAGATCATGAGCAATTGGGGGATGTGAACCGACAAAATAGGATTAGGAAGAATATAGGAGGGTGATCATGAGTAATTGGGGGATGTGAACTGACAAAATAGGTTAGGATTGCCTGGGGAATTTGATAAGTTTGTTTTTATCACGTAGAGTTATTATCACTTTGCCGATGACATACTTTGTTGCCTCTCTTATTAGTTTGCTGATGAAATACCTTGCCTTACATTGTCGGCTAATATTTCAATATAGCAGGAAAAGTTTCAACAAGAGTTTATGTAACACCCTGACCCGAAAATTTTATTTCTGAAACTAATTTCGGTGATAGGCCAAATTAAACTCTTGTTTATTTAACTATCACAAATCACAATTCTTTATTTAAATTTCTTAATCACTCACAAAATCTATAACCAATATTTACTTACCATAAACATAAGATTAAATTTTCAAATTATTCACCAAATTTCTTCTCTTAAATCAAATTCCCAATAAAAGATTAATCTCAATTATTGAAGGCTGCATCTATCCCCTGTTAGACTGCCTACGTACCCTTAAGTGGGATCAAGCCTTTCACAGTTCACCATTCATTCTTTTATCCATTTCCGAAAATATTATTGTAACGGAAATATTCAACATTAGCTTTCATAATCGAATCGCATCAAATGGGTACCAATTATGGATTTAAAATATCAAAATTTGCATGAAAAGGCAGCGTTGGCCCACTGGTCACGCGCCATCGCGGGTGGTGGTTTCCGACGAACGGAAACCAAAGTTTCCGACTAACTCTAAAAATTACCAAATTTTACAGGCAAGTAAATTTCAATGAGAGGAACAACTTTCATATATGGGCCGAAGTCCAATTCGGCTAAAAAACACCTTCTGCCGGAAAACCCTTGAAATGGTGAGCTTTAATTCTTCACATCCGTAGCTCCACCGCCCCCAAACTTGTTTGGGCTTTGTTCCTAGGCTCAATAGGATGCTAAAGGTGATGGTGATCGAGGGTAAACATTTCAGAAATGGTGGATCAACGGCAAGGTGCCACCGTACCCACCGGTGTGGGTTTCACCAAACCAAGGCCAACTCTCATCCTTTTTGGGGTGGAAATTGAAGAGGAAAGGCCAATGTGAAGTTTCCAAGTGCTGGCTCAATGAAAATCGCCAGAAAAACGATGGAAAACCACCGGGTTAGCTTCGGGTCAAAACCGGGTCCTGGTAGGGGAAACTGGTCGCGCGGTCACTTTTTCCCCCTCTCCTTTCTCTCCTTTCCCCTCTCCCGATTCATTCCCTATCTGATTTAGCAGTTCCCCCCATTGGTCACTCCTTTTTCCTTCCCCTTTTTTTTCCTTCTCTCGTATTTCTCTCCCTTTTCACATCCTTTCCCTGGAGCCTTCCAGATTTATGGTAAAATGACTATTTTGCCCCTACTTTCGTTCGTTTCTATTTCATTCGTTATAATTCCGTTTGTCGAACGGTTTTTGCCTATACGCTCGTGGAATCGTCCTATATCCAAATATGTCAAGAAATAGGATAAAATATATGAAAATAAAATACGTTCTCGTAAAATTACGCTTAGTCATTTTCGTCTTTTCCACTTATCGATAAATTTTTCGAAGTAAGTTATAATAAATCCCGGAAACAAAATTCTAAAATTTCTCTAATCAAAATTTTCATAACCATAAATCTATTTATTCCCGATTTACTCCACATATTCATATATTTTAAATTTTCAAGATATTACAGTTAACCCGTCAAAACAAAATTCGTCAGGGCATCGAATTTACGCGTACAAAATGATCGTCGACTAACATTCCAATTTTCTCGACTAAGATTGGCATTGTAAAGTGGTTGTGGTGTGAATATTTAGCCGACAAATTAAAATTTTCCTCAATAAAGGACTCTTGTGCCAACAAAATTTTGCTTTAAAGACTTATAATTTGTCGGTAAAATTATAATTTCTAGTGGTGTGTATTAGCAGTTGTAGGCCTGTGCTGCCGGGCATGTATATGTATATATAACATAAAACCCCATGTTTGTTGCATGTAACGGATTAAGATTGTAATCAAATTATCAGACCCAACCTTTAAATTCATATACAGTTACAAATACATTCTGTTAAGATTAAATTCGAATTGAAATCTGATATATTGACATGTCTAGTTAGAAAAAAAAAAAAATCAAATTCTATGGGTTAAAAATAGTAAAAGATTTTTGAGACATTTTGATCTTTCTAATTTTAGTCTAAAATGTCACATGAGTAATAAATATAAGTGTACAATCAACGAAAATAATGAAATTGAAGCCATTTGACCGCTTGAACAAATGGTTCAAAATGGTTGATGAATATATGGAAAATTTTAATACATTTAAATGCAAAAGTAAAATAAAAAAACTAAGCAAATGTCCTACGAGTAATAAATATAAGTGTACAATCAACAAAAATAATGAAATTTGAGTCATTTGATCGTTTGAACAAATTGTTCAAGCAGTCAAATGGTTCAAAATGGTTGGTGAATATATAGAAAATTTTAATACATTTAAATGCAAAAGTAAAATAAAAAACTAAGCAAATTACATCGATAAAATTGATAAATACGATAAACTATATATCATAAGTTGAATATAATAAACTCAACATAATATAAGTTACATTACGTACAACATAAACTCCAAGTAACAAAGGTGCTAAATGCAACAACACAACAAAGTCTAACCTCCTAATTCCCTTACCCTAGGATTTTGGTCCTTGATGAACCTCTCGAAACGTCGTCGTAGGAGATCGTTTTAAATTTTATTTTTTGTTAAAATAACTAATTTACCGAACACTCCGCCATCTTCTCGTCTGAAAAATGTTCAAAACCCTAGCTAGGGTTTAAGCACTCTCCTGACCGTTTCCAACCCAAACCCCAAAATCTATAAATTCGCTTTCTTTCAGTACCCATGGATTTTCACTCATCTAGTTCCCCCGCCCAATTTCTTCTTTCTTGCGCTCACAGATGGTAGGGCTCATCCCTCAGCTAACACTCGAAGACCTCGATCCAGCTTCAAAGCCCAAGTATTCGAAGGACCCGCCCGACTCCGTTGATCCCAGAGACCTTTCGGTTGCAGATTCGTTCTTGGATTTTGATTCCATAGAGGATTGGTTCAAGAATATTGATATGGCGGAAACAGGGCAGTTTAAGGCTGAGGCGGTTGACGCAGAGTATATTGGAGGTGGGTTCGAGCCGGCGGGTGATGGGTCTGTGCCGATTGATTATGGGTCTGGTTGTGCGGTGAAGGTGGAGGGTCAAACGTTGGAGAATTCGGGTTGTTTGATTGCGGAAGAGTTGGGGAAGGTTAATTTGCTTGGAGGGTGTGAAGAAAGTTCGGTTCTTGATGGTGGGAATGGTATGAAGAGTGAAGTAGTGAGTTGTGATACCGGGGAAATGAAACCGGTGAGTAATGAGAATGGGAGTGAGGGTTTGAAGTCGAAGATTGAAGGCGGGAATGGGATGGGCAGCGAAATGGTGAGTGGGAATGGTGGGAAGAGTGGAGCAGGGAATGGTGAGTCCGAGAGTGAAAGCTCGGAGTCTGAGAGTGAGAGTTCGTCGTCGTCGTCATCGTCATCATCTGAGAGTAGTAACTCTAGTGATGATGACAGCAGTGATGATAAAGAGGAGGAAAATAGGAAAGGGAAGATGAATGTGGAGGTGCAGGAGAGCAACGAGGGTGGTGAAATGGAAGAAGGTGAAATAAGGGATGCTGATGGAGGGGAGGAGGAAGATAAGATATTCGGTATGGATAACGAAAGTGAGGATGATGATGATGAAGATGAAATGGTTGCTTGGGCCGATGCTGAAACTTTTGACGAGGGAGACGGCGATGAGGATGATGTTGGAGATCTGAAGGGACCCATTAGGTCCAAGAATGAGCTTGAGGTAAGAAAAAGTTCATTGGTTATCTCGTACTTTGAAGCCGTGAATGGATTTGTGCACATTTCAATTGAGAAGTTGATATGAACATTCGGTGAGAGGTGGACATAGAGTTCCTATTTCATTCGTTAGGTCGTTACTGATAGATTAGCTTAGATGAGGAGTACATGTTGATTTTGTTTTAGTGGAGATAAGAAGATAGACTCCACTGTGATAGTGGAGCTGGCTTGTCTGACTTTGGTTTGGGATTGGGGAAACGAAAGGGTACTTGGGATCATCTTTAAGCTTGCAAGAAAGTCGTATTCAGGATTTTCAGTATTTTTGTCTAATATACAGAATTCTCTTTAGTAAATTGAGTACCTTGCTCAATCGCTCTGGAATTAATAACGCATTGTAAAAAATTTAGCATTTCTGATGTTGCAGTACTTGCAAATTTTTTTGGAATTAGCTTTTCTATGTTTCTTTTTACCATATTCTCGATTCTATGATATCTTAAAACATGCAATGCTTGCTAAACCTTCAATGAAATTAGCTTTCTGGAGTATCTAGTACTGCTTCAAATAGTTTGACAGGATTGCTTTGAATTTCGCAGGTGCTTCCCCCAATTCCTCCGGTGGAGGTGACTTTGCAACCACATCATCAGATGCAACCTGTGGGAGTTGTCTTATCGGTAAGCTCATAAGGATGTGAAAGCTTTTTTTTATTTTTTTATTTTTAATCTCAATTATGCAAGGAAGCCGATATTGTAACATGAACTTTATCAATCTCTAGTGTCATTGAAAATTTAGAATCTAGTGACACTCTAGAAGGTGCTTATTGTGATTTGTGGTATTGTTGCCTAATCGGTTTGATGCCAATTTGAATTTTACAGGTTCTTGGTACCCAAGTCATCGTAGAAGGGGTAGAGAAGCACAACCCTCTAAACGAGGGTTCGATTTTGTGGGTAACTGAAAGTAGATCTCCGTTGGGGTTGATAGATGAAATCTTTGGACCTGTCATACAACCTTACTATGTGGTGAGATTCAATTCAGAAAGTGAAATACCTAGTGGAATACAAACAGGAATTTTGGTCTCTTTCGTTCCGGAGTTTGCGGATCATGTGCTTAATAACAAAGATGTTTACCGAAAGGGTTATGATGCATCTGGTGCAAATGATGAAGAGATATCAGATGAGGCAGAATTTTCAGATGATGAGAAAGAGGCTGAATACAGGAGGATGCAAAAAATGTCAAAGAGGGGAATGAAGGACCAAAATGTTGGCAATAAGAAAAACAACAGAAAACGGGGTAAAAATAAGCCGGGACCCTGGAAAAATGGTCAACCTTCACCGCAGCAAACACCAGTGGATGTGGTTAAGCAGCCTCCCAATCAACACCACCATCCTTTTTCTCCAGGTGTACCATCTTCTGCTGCAGTATCACAAAAATTGGTTAGTCGGACTGGATTAGTTCCACCATTTCCAGCTCCTACACAGGTCGCTGGTATCAACACAACTTCAAATGGAGGTTGGGCAAATGGAGTGCCGTTTCAGCCACAAAACACATCCTTCCCTAACGGATTTCCAAACAATAGTTTTCCAAGTCTTCCACAGTATAATCCTCAATATCCTTATCAAATGTCTATTCCGAACAGAATGCCGTTCTATCAGCAGGCTGGTGCTGTCTTACCGGGCCAACAGTTGAACGCCTTTGCAGGACCTGCGTATTCACAAGGGATGATGGGTCAACATGGGTTCAATCAAACAGCCTTTGGGTTAGGTTTACAGGGCCAACCCATACCAGGCCAACAATTCAATGCCTTTGCAGAACCCAGGGTGGGTCAACTTGGTTTTAACCAAAACACGTTCGGGATGGGATTACAGGCCCAACCTTCTCACCCAATCTTCAATGCAGATCAAGGAATGCCATCAAATGGATTACATTCCGAACAAAACCATAATTTGCCACAATCCGTCGCAAATGCGGGCAATGTGGACAGCCAGCAATGTAATCAGGGCGCACCTTCTAATCATGGAAGGAGACCCTCCCATAGAGGGGCTCGTAATTTTGGAAGGAGACCCTCCCATAGAGGGGGTCGTAATTTTGGAAGGGGAAGAGGCAGGCAGCAATCGAGGTGAAAGTTATGGCATGCTCTGCGGCACCCAACACACTGAAGTTAAACTACAAGTAGGCTTTGAGAAGAGCCATCGTTCGAAATCGCTTGTTTTTATGTATTCGGTTTTTACCGTATTTGCTGGTCCAGTATATGAAAGAACATAGATGGTGAACATGTTCTCGATTTCCTTACAATGCAATATCCACCTTAGTTGCATGTAATTTTGAACATCGACAAATTTTGGTCTGTCTAGTAAAAGCGTCGATAATTTTGAATTTAATCCTATCAAGCGTACTTATTTTGTTGTGGGAGCAAATTTTCAAGCCCCAAATTTATAATCTTGCAATAGTTGGTTACCAAAACATGCGTTACCTGAAGGCGTTACCTGAAATTGATCCACAAGATAATCTCTGAAATTAAAAATCAATTAATATAATCCCCTAAAAATGAGTAACATTGATTTGTGACATTCATTTTCAAAGATAACTTTGATTGATTTTCAATACTAGAGACCATCTGATGGGATGAGCCAATTTCAATGACCATTTGTGATAAAAACCCATAATTTAAGGAAAATAGAAAAGAAATATCACCTACTAAGCATGAGAATAAATTATCAAATTAGAAGGTTCTAAATCAGTCAAGAGAACAAGAGACATTAACTCGGGAAATTGTCATTGGAAGCTGCCTTTTTTTTCCAATGTGGGGAACGGGGAGGGGTAGGGGGTTGCTTTCAATGAGGCGATATGGGTACAAGTAACCCATATGATCAAAAGGGAATAGCAGGACTGCAGGGATATTATTCAAGTTTTAGCATTCCTTGTGAAGTCAGTGCAGGTCTGGCAGCTGCAATCCGAGAAACGACAGATTTCGCAGCCAAAGCACACACAAGAAGTACAGCCTTGGCATGTCGGAGAACGGCTGCAGCCTCTATATACCCTTCGACTTGCTCGTTCTTCTTCATCATCACATGTTATTCTGAAATATAGACAAACATTCACATTTGAATTACTGAACCTTCAAAACATATGTAATAACTACAACAAACCAACCATTTTTTTGTATATTGGGTGTGTGCACTAGTTTACAACCTACCATCTTAATCTAAAATGCCTACTGGTGAATGTCAAGGAATAACATCGCCACTTATATTTACTCCCCCAATCGAACGTCCCTATGTGCTTCCTAACGTTTTATTAAATGTGTATTTCTCAACCTTAAGATAACTTGAATGGCAACAAACTACCATTATTGGATGGGTATATGCGTACAAACACCACCTACTCTACCCCAGAAAGTAATAACTACTCAATTTTCCGGAAATGGTGCCACAATCCATCCTTAAGCAGCTAATCCGGCTAATTTCTAACTACTGAATCAACGAAGCTGGATGAACAGTATACACAAACATAAAAAAAGCGATCAATATAGAAGCTACAATAAGCAACCATTCAGTTGTTCTAAAAACTGTCAATAAAACAGCATATTGAAACCAAACTACACTATATAAACATTAGCATAACGATTAAACAGAAACGATATTCATATTATTTCACATTTGTGAGATAAAACTATAACTAGTGTATGGTTCATGAATGGTCGATGGCCTATAGCATAAGAGAAAAACAACTCGATCAATACCAAGTAGAAGTATTTGTTCAATGTAAGGGAGGAACATACTTGTCATACGGCAGATCAGCACATTTCCAATTCACATCAGCCAAAGCATCATGGTAAACCCGACATTCCTCTTTTGTCCGGAGGCGAAACCTGCGCTCCTTGTTGCACCTAGTACAGGAAACAAACTCATCATGGTGACAAACACGTCCATTGTTGGATCTGTGGGAACCATTAGCACTTTTTGATGCCTCGTTATGGTACTTGAGCAGCACCGTTTTACACAGCGGAACCTTCTTCCCGTTATCAATCACCCAAACATTATTTTTCCATTTCCTAGCAGTCTCTCTTCCAGAATGCTTTTCAAATGCAGCAGGAGTCAGTTTTCCTTGTGATTGAAATAAAAAGGAAAAATAAATAAGATGGTTATAATACAAGAGTTGAGCTAAAACAGAAACAAAAATCCTGGATATAAGCACGAAACCTCAATCTGAGCTTTTGTCATGACCATTAAACTAGTTAAACAATACTTAAAACGCATGCATCCCAACGTGTACCATTTTCTGGATATTATTAACAGACCACACGAACTACATATAGCTAACTCAACTACATAATTAAATACTAATGGTTTCACCTCTATCTTGTTGGAACCACAAAAAGAGCCGACAGTAAATACACGAAGGTTGTAAGCAGGTGGACTCCATTATTGGGTCAAGACTGTGTCTTAAGGCAGCAATTTGCTTTACAAACAGAACAACTGTCCTTGATGGACTAAGTTGTTTTATGTGAGGAAAAGATACCGGCAATTCAATGAACACTAAAGACATAAGAGTCTTGTTACGAGATGCCCTAATCTTTCGAGTGTGTGCCAAATTCAGACGCAGGAAGCAAACTTGTGGAATTATCACAAGGACTATATTATGGAAGAATAAGATATGGCACGCCCAAAAGCTGCAATTATGTAAAAGAGGATGCACCGCTAGGTTGTCAGAAAGAGGTATTCTTGGAAACTCCACGCCATAGTGCTTACAGATAATAGCATTGTAGAAACAAGACCAGAAGCGCATAGAGACATCAGATAACACAGTCAAGCTTGAAAGTTATAAGGGTGGCTGCTCATGAAATAACACATTGGATTAACTGTCAATGCCCATAAGCCAAGTATGAAAAAGCAATTTCATCAACCACATTAGTGCTAATTACATCAAAGACGAAAGAAAGATACGCAAAGCCCTACAATAACTAAACCATGCTATGCAACTCTACAACATCTTACTCTGGAAGAGAAAGAACAGAACTCAGGACATATTCGAAACCAAAACCTCGAAAACCAAGTTTAATTACGAGGTTGCGATCGCCACGAAAATGGCAATGTAGGTTTCATTCTCAATACACCAACTTAAAGAAATACTCTTTACTCCACAAACAAGCCAGAAACCATCTGAACTCGACCATATGAAGCAAAAGAGTAGACAAACATATAGCTACCGTACACCCAACACGGAGAAGGCATTCGGTCAGACAAAACAACATACACCTCAACTGTATACCCAGCAAAAATACAATGAACAACTTCCAAAGCAAAAGCTCGTCGTCATCAAATACAAACCCAGCAGATTAACCAGACCAGAAATGGACAGACAGACAGAAAGCCATCAACGTCAAAACCAGTACACGATGAACTAAAGAAGCTCAAAACGCAAACAACATGCATTAAAAATCAAAACCCTTTTCCCCAAAAAGCAAGTGAGAGAGAGATCAAAAGGGCAGAGAGAAAGACCTTCCTGACAGCCAGGGGTGCACTCGCAGGTGATTTCGAGGTCTCCATTAACGAAAACCCTAAGCCTCCCAACAGCATCGCCATATCTGTGGCTGGTGCAGCCGCACGTGACCTCCATATGGTCCGGACCTCTCTTCACCCCGCTCATCTCTCTCAGCTCATCGTCGCTAAACAGCACCAACCCACAGTCTCTCTCTACCCCATTCGCCATTTTTCCGCAAAAGGTGGAGTCTTGATCGAAACCCAGAAATCCCAGAAGGTAAAATCGAAGGAAAAGTCAGAAAATATGGAAGAAAATCAAGGAAAATAACATGGGTTTTCTGGGCTGTATCGGGAACAAGAGAAAAAAAAGGTCGAGAAAAAAAAGCCCAGAAAACCACAAAGAGAGAGAGAGGGGGGAAGGGAGAGGCGAGTGCTGTAATTAAAAGGGTTTCTAAGACGCACGCATATCCATGGATTTATTCGGAGAGATCTGGTGGAGGAAAACGTCGAAAGTTATAGTATTTTTGTAGATAGAAAGATAATAAAGAGGGAGAGGCGTTACGAGTTTGATAGAGAGTGTGGGTGAGATGAGAGAGAGAGAGAGAGAGAGAGAGAGTGAGAGTGAGAGGTTGGTTGGTAATGGGGTTTGAATGAAATATGAATGAATGAAATGAGCTGGCTGTCGTGGGGTGGAGTTCAGCTGAGAAGAGTGAGAAGGGGTTAAAAGCCTCTCTCTCTCACTCCTCTCTCTTTCTCTCTCCTCACTCCCTTTCTCTCCTATTTGCCAATTGCAAGAGATGCATGATATGACATGAGAGGGAAGGAGGGATAAAATAAAGGGAAAAAAAATGGGTCTTGGGGTCGGGGGCTTTCGTTTATGGGAAAATCCCTCTCGTGGGAAGGAGGTGAGGTTTTCGGTTTCTGTTCAAAGTCCTTTTTTTACTCCCCTTCTTTTTACTGCTGCTTGGAGATTTGCACTGTTTTCATAAAAGATGGCATCTTTGATTCGAGCGATAATCTACGCTAAATCCCAACCAGACGGATTTGAAATTTAAAGCAAAAAACAGAGCACATTGATCTAGTCAGTTTGGCTAACAAATAGTCTTAAAACTTTGGTACTGTGGTACTGTGGTGGTGAAGTGAGGTGAGGTGCTGTGTGGTTGGCGCCAGGCAACCAGAGAGGCCGAGGTGTAAGAATTTGATGCAGAAAGTGTACGGAAATGAGTTTGGTGCTGGACTTTTATCGATTAAGTAGTGAACAGAGCCAAAGATTGTGATCAGAAATTGGAGGTTTATACTTGGTATTCTCGTGAGTCGGGATTGGAAAGCAGTAGCAATGACGGTGATTTTTAGTTAGCTTTAGGCTTTAGCAGTTTCAAATGGTGAAACCGACTGTTGAGTAAAACCCAATCCAAAGCTAAACCCTTTTGGCTCTCTCATACGCATGAGCGAAATAGTTCAATATACATTGAGATTTTTTACCGTTAGATCAGTGACCGTATATATAATTTATTGTTCATTCGATGCATGACATATACTGTAAATCTAAGAAAATTGTTGTAAACCATATGATATTTTTTACGAGAGGAGTGTTATAACATTGCAATCACAATTTTGGTTCCTAAAACAAACTAAAAGCCAAACTAATGGTTAACGATTTCTTGTGTCAAAGAAGAAATTTGGCATAGCCGTCTTACTAAAGCATCTCTCACGTTAGTTGGTGGTGAGGTTGGGTAGGATTACAATACAAATTTTTTATATTTTGGTTAGAGGTGCATACATAATAGGTGTAAACAACTCTATCCAAATCATTGTCAACTTTGAATAGAAACTTGGATAGAAAAATAGTCGAGTTAGAAAATGGCAGCTATAATAATTAAAAAGGAGGATATTCACACATTTTTTTTTACCTTTCATATACATTTATTAATTTTCGACCATTGGATTGAATGAATTGACAAATATCAAATGATAGAAATTAACATGCAGTGTGTGGGAGGTAAGAAGGGGTGTGTGGATAAAACCACCTATGAATAATGGCCATTTTTATCAAATGACACAAGATTTACTCATTTGCCCTAATAATAACCAAGATTTGGGTATATTTCCTTACACGATGTTAGAGAATAGAGTCCCACATCAAAGAGATAACAAAATAGCATAGGTTCACTTCTAATGTCACTGATGCATTTTGCGATAAAACTTCACATGTAGTAATAAATTGTTAATTTAGAAACGATATCAGTGATGTTGGTGATGGATCATGTTGCGCCTAAAATGTTTATCATCTTGCGCTAGCTCTCCTCTAAGGGTATTAGAATGAACAATGAGTCTTCAAACAGTTGAGTTGTCTCTAGTCTAATGGATGAATGATGACCAAACTCTTAAAACGTTAAGGTAGCTCGGATATCATAGATTGGTGGCAAACTATACTGAACCTGAAACCTTGAAAATACAAACTTTAGCTTTATCCCACCATCATCTTGCATACTTCGATATAAAGCGAGACTACCATTTCTCAGGTTACCTGAAGTTTTCTAAGGTAACGTTGAACGTCAACTAGTTACACTAATTTAGGAGAAATATGAATTATCATACTTGCAACTTAATTAATTTGACAAAAGTGCTAATATATACTTATATTTTAGGGTATCTCACCAACCCTTAATATGTGGGGATAATTTTATATAGTTTGTGTGTGGAGCCATTCACTAATGTACGTACGTCATCGTTTCATAGTTGCCACATGCATTCTCTGTTTTCTATACAGTATTAAGCTATTTAAAAACAACTTAAAGCTTTGTTTAAAGATGCATTATTGACACTAAGCTTAGAGCCAGCTTCTATATTTGTTGACAAAGTTGGATACCACTAAACATCATCAACTTAGTTCTTAGTTGTTGAGGCTAAACATCATCAACTACAACATTACCTTTTAAATGATCAATGCAGGACGTGTCGATTGTTTAATTAACTTTAAATATACTTGATCACTAGTTTTCATACCATATTTATTATATTATGCACAAGTGCCTATTTCTGTAAGTTAGTTTAAACATGCTCTGTATCTTACATATAAAAAGTCATTTCTATAAATGTAAACTATTGTTAGCACATTATTTTAGTAGTCAAATTAAGAACTACATGAAAGTTTGAGTAAGTTTGATCTCAAGACAGGTAGTGGCGGTGGTGGATGTCAATGTCCGATCTTATCATAAGTCACAAGAAGGCCATTGTGGCGGGGGATTGTGAAGAGATTCTCAACTAGTACTCTACACCATGGAGCATAGTAGGACTGTAGTTAGTTTGGTTTCATCTGTTGATATCTCCAGCAATTTCAACTGGTTGATTCCTACCCATCATTAGCTCATGACTCAGTGCATGCACTAGTCATTACCTATTAATTAGCTAATTGGGGTAAGTTGTTAGCTCAATTTATAGAAAAATTATCCGCTGCATATTTGATGAGCATAGAAATATTGATAAATCAATTTGACTATAACAACGCTGATACTAAATCAGATCAAATCGTGTTGGATTAACATAAAATACATAAACAAGTTAAATAAAGGTATGATATGATGCCTCAACCATGTATGATATGATGCCATCATCATCTTCTTTAGCAAAAGGTAGAGGAAATATTTCAGTGTAGTCCCGTTGGAAAAAGTATGATTGAAAACAAGGCCTAGCTCTTTTCACTGTGGCATGCGATTCGGTTTATGATTGGTTTGATATCCCTTGAAGTGACCTGGCCACACACAGTGACATATATGGGCTTGGTCGACCTTCACCTCTCTATGTGTCGGAGTAGAATTCTCTCTTCTTCTTTTTTTCACTCTCCTTCCCTCTTCTCTTATATGAACGATTATGATTAAGCTACGTTAACATCTTGTATTAATTTTTTATAAAATGAAAAAGACAAAATAAAAAATGTAAGAAAAAGAGATAGAAGATGATGAAAAAAAGAGAAAAGAGAATCATAATCCCTCTGCCTCTCCCTCTCTCTCTTTGTGTTCAAAAAGTTGTACAGCTCTAGCATAAAATCATTAGGCATTAGAAATATATTAATAAAATGATAAAAGTACACATGAAACACTGCCCTGCACACATTTTATGTAACAACAATGATTAACTATAAGCTTTTCTTTTTTCAAAGTGTATAAATAAATTTAGGTGTAAGACAATGATTAGGTTTAGTTAGAGAGTTCTAAAGAGCCGTTTATCTCATTATGTGTATATCTCTGTTCTCAAATGATCAAAACATGTTATTATGGCTATATCTTTGTCAACAAGTGAGCAAACCATATATACACTGAGAAAAGTAAAGAAACTATTGTTTTATCGAGCTTCTTGTATGGAATTTGGTGCATGGATGTGTGTTATTGGAGGTCTTTTGTCCAAACACCGCAAAATACCAAAAGAGGGAGACGAGAAGGTCTTTTGTCTGAATGCCGGACAATACCAAAAGAGAGATGACGAGGTCAAAAACGAGGTAGGAGTCGTCCTCAAATCGGGAGGGTGGGCAATGAGAGTTTTTTTGAGTCTGAGGCGTAGGAAATTGGTAGTCCGGACGCGGGACGCTTGCTATTGGTGCCCATGTTGACTTATTAGCTTTAGCTAAGTTGTGCTTTGCAATTTTCACAAGCCATGATATTACATTGGATTCTTCAGCCGAGAGGACCACTTGGACTTCAAGCATTCTACAAAGTAGGCCTACCCAACTTGAAATGAATTATATAGATTATAGACATACATTTGAAATGAATTATATAGATTATAGAGATACATACATAGTTGATATAGTATACATGAGTTAGGATTCGGAGATGCATGTTTTGATATATATTTTAACATTTACTTTGTACGGCTCACTTTGTAATGTGTTTAACAATCCGAATTGTCTATATTTTAGTACATTATTCATAGATCATCCTTACAAAATTAGACAAATCCAAAATCATAAATACATTTATTCGTAGTAAAAAAAACAAACGAATACGGTTCTACAAAGAAACACTAAATTTAATCCAACGATATATGATTTTCGGATTTGGGTGATTTTTTGTACATGACCTTTAAGGTAAGACATAAAAGGTAGACGGTTTAATCGTCGAAATATTACTGAGTGGGTCCCAAAAAAGTGTATGTCAAAATGTGTTTGAAATATTACTAAGTGAATTCCACCAAAACGTATGTCAAAATATGTGTCGCAAGCATGTATTCTCATACCTAACCTATATATGTATTCTTGTGCCGTAGTCAACTTTCATTCACATTCATGCATTTGGGTCTTTTTCTTAATGTTATGTAACATTTTTTGTCTGGTAACTAGACTTTGATTGGCAAATCCAAAACTTCTTCTCTTTTTGG